GAGGACAACAGGAACCTGAGTTTTACCCAGATCCAAAGATAAAAGCAGCAAAGGATTTTGTCAAGTTCTTCCTTTCTTCCTCCTTCAGATGCTTGAGTCTCCCCTGTAAGCAGAAACCAGAACTCAAAAGCAGCAAATGGGGTCTCTTGTCACAATGGCAAATCCCACCTTGCCCAGCGGTGGGTCCCACCAGTTTCTGAACACCCTCACCTCTTACAGGATAATAAAAATCAACCTTGTCTCCCAAAACAACAAGAGATGATGGCAGGCACCAGCAAATGGGCACAGCCTGGGGGCCAACTTGGGCCATACCAGGGCTGGTCGGGTGATGCCTACCTTATCTTAGCACCATTTTGTTCAATTTTTTTTCACGCATCAACTCCCTTTACACAACAGAAACTCTACTGTGAACTTTATATGTAAGAATTTGATTCCCAAAAAGGAAATAAGCTTCCACACAAAGCAGCAATCTGTTTGGACCAGCCTTCTTGTAAGCAAGAAGGGGAACCAGAAAAGAACAAACCTGTACATCAGTGGCTCAATACATCATGCTTACATCCCATATCTTGAAATGCAGAGTAGCATTACTGTGCTGTTCTGGCACCATAATGCAGCACAACCCCGTCCACCCCAAGAGCTGGTTCCCCACTTTCTGCCAGAGCCCCACGAGCACTGAAAGGATGCCTGCAGCAGCAAGATAAGGAACCCAGAGAAACCAAAATCCTTGCTCTGCCACAACTTTTAGACCACAGCTGGGTGAAGCACGCTCCCATTTGGCATGCTTGTGACCCCACACCCATCCAGACCTACCAGCTATCCTTCCTTGGCCGCACACTCACGTTTCTCCACCTTACACCTCTGTGCGAAGACACAGCTGAGGGCTGGGAACACTATCCTGTAGGTGCAGCAGCCCGCACGCCAACCGGCAAATGCAGCCTTTATCCCCCAAGCAGCACCACTGTCTGGGATTGTGTCTCCAGGCCATGCTCTGTGAACTGCTGATCCACGAGCAGGTGGAAGAATGAGGTGTGGTGTCTGCCCCTCCCAGAGGGAACCACAGCAGCTGCCATGGATTTCAATGCCCAGCTATCTGTGAAGACGCTCAGTACCTACTAAGCTAATTGAGATGAAGTTTTCTCAGGCATGTAAAATTTAGGTATCATTTGTACCTGTACTTTTGTGGAGAACACTGGCAGGAATCAAATAGTCAGGAGTGATCCCATCAGATAGAAGCAGCTAGGCTGGGCTCCAGCACCTGCAGAGGAATTACACAGTACCAGCAGGCAACATGCTTGTTTTGATCTCACTGTGAATATGTATTTGGCTAATAAAGACTCAAAGCTGGGAACTGGAGAAGAACCTGCAAGTTTCATGCCACCCTGCTGCCCACGATGCTCACACGATGACGCTATCTGAGCGGCAGCTATGTAAAGAATGCTGCCGTCTTACCAGGGTTAAAAGGGTCAGAGCAAATTAAGTGCTTCTTACTGAGTGACTGCAAGGGGAAATAATTTCCCTTTCTCAGGAAAGCTCTCTAGCATGAGCTCCTTTCTCTAGCGTGATAGATTATCTCCAACCCACGACACCAAAACTGGATCAAAGCAGTCTCCTGGGTGGCCAAGGCTTTGCTCATCACTGCAGCAAGACTGAGACATGGCACCTCCTCACCAGTGCAGCAGAAAGACAAGCTGGGACCACAGAGCTGCACCTTTCTGTCAGGGAAACCTAGACCCTACTTCCCTTCAGCCCCAAGGAAAGCATCAGAGAACACAATTTTGAATGCCTATCCCATCTTTCAACCGGTGTTTTAGAAAACACTCCTTTTGCATACAAGCTAAGTGGGGTCATGGGAAGCAACACTGCAGATGAGCTTAGTTTTGACCAACATGGATGGGAACTCCCAGGGCCATGCACCTCTGAGAAGCTTGCCCAAGATCACACGCAAGTCAATGGAAGGCCAGGAACCTACGGAAGAGTCAATCTTTTTCATCGACCCTTGGACCTCCTTTTCCACCAAGACCTCCTTGAATGCAGATGGCTTTTGTGGTTCTCCATAAACGCTCAGCTTACACTAGACCTGAGCAGGCACATTTCTGGAGAGCAGCCTGTCAGGTTACAGTGTGCCATTCCACCTCCCCTCTGGTCTGGTTGCTTCCATTAACTTTTGCACAAATGATTCATTTTGCCCAGTCTTTTGTAAACAGCATTCAAAGCCAGCTGGAATTTGTTGTGCACCTAAATTACACTTGCTCAGCAAGCTCTTCCACAGAAAAGATTCATTTCAATCTTTGCCCATGGTGGGGGCACAGCATCCTCTCTTCCACTGCAGCAGCAGAGACTCTTTCTTTTCACAGAACTGAAGCAGGATGGTTAATATCCAAACCTCACTGCTATTACAACATGAAAGTTACACCTTGAAGTAGGAAGGGGAAGAAGAAACTCACTGGATCTCTTAATTGTAGCTCTGGGCCAAATGTCACTGCTGAAGAGCACAAGGTGGGTAGGAGCACGTGAGGAGTCAATACCTCAAGCTGAAGTGCAAAGCACGAGGAGGCTTAGACACCTGCAGGTATCATCAGCAGAGAGGCTGACCTTGTCACACCCGGGACAGTTTCAGCTGTCCCCCAGCTGACAAGGAAGCTATTAATGGACATACTGGGAAAGCACAAGCATGCACCAGTCAACCACAGCAAAGACCAGAGGGGGATGGTTAAAAGACCAAATCTGAAATGCGGTAAGCAGAGTTTTTAGAGTAGGACAGGTGTTGGCATGAAATCACAGGTTCCTGAGGCTGAGAAGCAATCTTCACAACCTCATCTGAGGCTGCAGCATGTCAAGCCTTCGTTTTGGTGACAGGACCCATTCCCACCCACCTCCTCTTTCCTTTCACCCCTCCCGTGCAACTGAAAAGTGAACCCAAGGGGGAGTTAGTCACTGGACTACTGGATTGACCAACTGCAGCCATCAGGAAAGCCGATGGTTCTGCCCATAAAATGTGGCCAATGCCTGGAAGTGAAACACCACCATTTCCAGGGAATCTGCCTTTGTAAAGCAAGCAGAATCAAGCACGGGACACAACAGGCAAGAGGCAAACTTCCCCATGCATTAACATAGGCAATGGGAACTCAGGATAAGAGGACAGACTGCAGATGCTATGACATGCACACCTACACAGAAGCATGGAGAGGACTTGAGCCAGTTTATCTTTTCCAATCTAATGAAGAACTGGAGATAGATTCATCCAACTGGCACAGTACAGTCTTCAAAAGCCAAAAACTTTACAGCTGGTTTGCTAAGAGATGTTTTTTTGAGGTGTTAGAGTGGGAAGGAGGGAAGAGAAAAACACAGCTAACGCTCCTTCCTACAGCAAGGGGAAAGAAAGTTATTTCCTTCACAGATTTAGTTTATAAACAGTTTTACTTTTAAAGCAGAGTTAAAACCAGGATAAAAAAGTATGCTCAACATGCATTTTGTCATACCACACTGCTTGCCATACAAGCCAACACTGCTCTTCCTGACTGGAATTAAACTCCTTTACATCCAAAGCAGCTCAGCTCAGCTCTCAGTGTGCTGCTGGAGGAGGCAGGGAAGGCTCTTAGAAATGCTCTGCACCCCACTGTGCCCCACTACGGCAAAGTTGAACACAACAGCTTCACCAGCACTACACACAGCACAAAATGCCTTTCTAGGAGATCTGACATCAGGTTGCATGCACATTGCCAAGTGAATTACAGCACCTGAAGAACATAGCAATACTGACATGGAGGACACCTGTAAAAACAGGTCTTGACTACTCCCAAAGGGAACCTAAAGCCACAGCAGATGTTCTTTTAATCTCCACACACATTACTGACTGCTGCAAGATGGCACTTTGGACAGGTAAAGAAAAACAAACACTAATAGCTCAGGATCTCATTGCATAGGAAAAGACAAGTGGCTCAGGCTGGCAAGTCCTCAGGCATGAGAGCACTAAGATACACCCTCCCAGGAGAGTCACGGGACAAGGGATGACATGGCTGAGTTGCAACATATGTAGGTCCAGTGTCCCGATAACCAGCCTCCAGAAGGTGAAAACACACAAGGACCTTGCAACAGTTCAAAAAAATGCACAGCCTCACAGGACTGACTACACCAGTTCTGCTGCATTTTCACACAAGTCCAAGGCACGGTGCTGGCCCTGCACCCCAGCACTTGCTTGTCATTGTGAAGCCATCAGCTGCATTAGTGCAGGGTGGCACAGTGGCACCAAAGCAGAGTCAGTGCTTTTGCAACCAGCGATGAAACTCTAAAGCCATAAAACATGGAAACAAAGAGCTAAGAGATCAGTGAGAAGAACCACATTTCTATCCCACTGCTCATTTATTTCAGTATCTAACCAGGCCCCAAGGCTCTTGTTAAAGGAGTCTTTTCATACTAGTTTTGATATGGGAAGGGGCATGGGCAAGACTTGGCTGCTTAATTCAAAGGCATTGCCCTGAATACTGGAATGCCTGGCAGCACTTTTACTCAGTGATTGAAGTAGTTAGCCCCTTGCTGGAAATGCAGAATTACTGCAGACTAAATCTGGACAGCATTGCTTGAACCAATGCCAAGGTGCCTCATTTCTGTGACTAACTAACACCAAATGAATAATTTCTTGAAAAAGAACTCCAACTTGGACTTTCAGGGACTTGCAAAAATAATAATTACGTTTGTCTTTTACACCCAACAAACATTTTGATCTATAGCACCCATTCAAAGGAAGAAGCTGTGAGTACAACTGCTGGCAATTATTTTGAAATTTTTTTTATACATTTAAGCACAGATTATTTTGCTGTTTAAATTGAGATCAACACTTACTTCCTTCTCTCAATGAACTTTTTTATGCTTGCCTGCTTTGATGCTGATATCCAGAGGCTTTCAGAACTTGATGCAAGCGTGGTTTTTTAGCATGTGCACTCTTCTAATGAAACTAATAAAACACCATGCATGACAGAGCAAGAAATTAACCTGGAGAGAGCCAGGAGGATACAGGTTTAATTTCTCTTGATTCAGCAAAACAACAATAATCCTGTATGATAATATGCCACAGTCTTGATGAAGAAAAAGTTCAGCATTGATCTTAAGTCTGCCCCTGTAATACCAGATCACTTTGCTATCACATATTGACTACTTGACATCCAAAGACAAAGCACCCTGAATTCACCAGGGAAGAACAAACCACAACAAAGTGATTTCCCTTCTAGGAGTCTATTCTCTTCTGCTATAGCTGGAAGATGATTTAACCAGCGTTTTCTTCGCACTACACAATTGATGTGGAACAGGCACACTGAACTCGGCTTCTTCTTCACTCAAGTTCTGTGGTCCATCGCAGGTAGGGCTCCAAAGGGAGCAGATTTCATTTCAGCCAGATCCACTTGTCACCAACTTCAGCGTTGTAGCCTTGCCTAAAATTGCGACCAGGAAGCTAGAGAAAGCAGAAAGTTCAGTCAGAAACATTTCTCTCTTCACCCTTTATGGAAATCTTTAGATTCTTTATGAAGTACCTCATTGTATCTGCAGAAATGCAACATTAAATACATGTTTACAACATAATGATGAAAACTTATAGAAAAATCAGTCCCTCTGAAAAAATTGAGCTGTGCAGTTGAAGGGGGGGGACCCTCAAAAAACACTATGCCATAATATAGATAAAAAGTAGGCCAATAATCTCAACAGCACAACAGCATATTCCCCCTGGATTCATCCAACTCTTCTCCCCTACACACCCTTGTTCCCAGTTTTAATAAGAGGTGACCCCTCTAACTGTAGCATGTAGTAGAGGAATTGAATCAGTCAGTAGAATCTCATGCCAAAATAGGCACACATTATTAAATACATGAAATATTTCATGCATGAAATACTGAGTTAATTACTACATTAAATTAAACCATTCAAATGAAATTGCATATTTAGCCTTCAAGAGCTGAACTTAACTTCATTAAAGCAAAAGCAATATCTGCCTGTCTTCATAAGCAAAGCCAGAAGCCACTACTCACTGGAAAAAACAAAGTTTCTTGAACCCCCCTACCCAAATTTCACTGTACCCTGGGACCTAAGCAACAGCCTTCACTTGCTGCCTCTGAACATCACTGATCTTTCAGACTGCAACTCTTCCACACAGACCCTTAACGCAACTGGGAGCAGCCTCCGCCTAGGCAGCTCGGACACACAGGTTAGCCTGACCGACCTTGCTGTACCCGTGGTTCCCAAACCAGAGCTCAAGGAACCACAGTGCTGCCGCACGAAGTCACCCCTCCGGCCAGTTCGTTGCACCTCAGGGTACATGAGACAGCAGAGGGCTGGGGACCGCAGCAGGAAGCCTTTCCTTCTGACAGCATCTCAAGAGCTTGGCCTGGTTGTACAGGCCGCAAGAGGATCACGAAGGAGCAGTTTGAACCTAGCAAACCAAGAAATGCATCGCAGAGGGAAAGGCTGGATAGACTGGAGCACTGGGAGGGGGACATCAGATGTACTAGGAAAGCTGGAGGGTTTGCACCCTCACCAGTGAGGGAAAGCAAATTATCATGGAGATAAGAGCAAATGGAGGTGAAGAGCAGTAGCCTAAACAGTCTTGGCATTTGGGAGTTCAAGGAGTTACGTCTAGTCCTGGAGACAACGATCTGTTACCTCTAAGTCTGTGAAAGTACACGAGACACTGAAGCACACAACCCCCTTCCTGGTAGTCCGTCTAGCCAGCCAAACAGGCGCCTCGTGACTAAAGCCTTCCACAAGGGTTCCAGAGGAAGAGGACATGCACAGCAGTGCAGATCGTGCGTCGGGGTGGAAAGCCAAGCCTGGCCCTCTCAGCCCACTGCCGTGTGCAGCCACATCACAAAAGCACTCAGGCAGCATTACAGACACAAAAAATTCAGCAGCCAAGCTGTTCTACCTTCAGCTGTAAAGATTTGGGAAAAGAAGCTGTTTAAGTAGCAGCCATTTTAAGGGATTACAGACACAGCACACAGGACTACAAGAGAAAGCCTGCCAGAACAGTTAAAATAGCAAACTCCTCTTACATAGCGTATGTGCTCTCTCTGCAGGCGAGGAAAGTGCTCTTCCAGGCCAAGCAGGCTGCATCAGGTCAGCAAAAGCACGCTTATGTGACAGAAGACTCAACACAAGTGTGCCAACAACACTGTCATCAAAATCATCTCCTAACAACTTGCTTTGCAAAAGCAACACAAATTTTTAGTGCAGTTTCAGCCTGAATAAACATAAACCAGGCTCCATACCCGCTAGATAACTAAGCCACAGGAACAAAACCTGCCAGCCACAGGATCAGTGCATAAAGTAGCTACTTTGGCAGTTAATCTGAACTGAGTGATCCTATGGAAGAAACAGATGTAGATACATTTCAACCTCTGAGTCTCAGGTGTTAAAGCAGTCCCCTTCAGATAGTACTGATCATGACCTCAAATGCCAGAGATGGTTAGGTCCTAGCTTCAAAAGCAGAGTCTATCTTCAGAACCTCTCTTCCTATCTCCAGGAGTGAAAAAGAGACAGAACACAGCATTCATCTTTGAGATATAACACTAGAATCAAGAAGCAAACCACCATGAAAAAGCAAATGTGTTTTGTGAGAAAGATTGAAGCAAGCAAAGATGCTATACTAAAATTCTTCCTTTAAAAATAAGCTATCCACTGGCAGCCTTTACAAGTAATTAAGCACAGGTCATCTGCTCATCTCCACACAAACACTGGGTTCACACAGGACCCTGTGTCCTGTGACATTTGTCCTGATGATTTTTCCTTTAAAAAAAAAATATCTAAGAGTATCCTGTTTGGGAGAGCTGCCCCTGCAGAGAGAAGCAAGACCCAGTCTTGATGAAATCTATACTCAGGCCACAAAACCAGCTATTTAATCCAGGATGAAGCCTGTCGTTTTGAGGAAGGGGAGGGTGTTGGGTTTTTTTTATTTGAAGGTCAGGAAATAAGACACTTCTTTCCCTAAAACATCAAGCTAACAGAAGATTTCTACCTCCTTCGTGAGACATTCCCTGCCCTGCCTTGTCACAAACCATTACAAGCCATTTGTGATTGGTTTTTCTAAGGTTTTTTTCATTTAAAGTTGTCTTTAATGTCTTGTCTAAATATCAGAAGAAACCATGCAGTCCTGTTAAGAGTTACTCCTGCTGAGCAAAGAGGAGATGTGAGATGGAAATAAATGATTACTATCTCTGCCCTGGAAATTTACAGTGGTGAGCTATGGAGGACATCAGACCTGCTGTGACCAGCCTGTATCTATTAATTCTAGCAAAAAAACAGCTCTCCCTGGTCCTCTCCAGGCAGCACATAATTGGCCCTTTGATACTTCAAGAGATTCCCAGATAACTAGATTATTAAAGCAACAGGAGCTCTCTGGGAAAATACAGGAGTTTACAGTTTCATTTCTGGGTAACTCTGCCCTCTTTAAAAGATACAATATCAATCCCAACAGAATTCAAATTCATTGTCCAAAACAAATTCCCCATGTGTCTTTGTTTAAAGACATGCAATACATCAAAGCAAATTTTATAATAAGTATTCATCCATACTCCATCGTTCACAGTGGGCCTTGGCAAAAGCAGTCGAGTTTTGGGATATGTTACAGCCAAGCTTTCAAAATAGCCCCAAAAAAATGGAAAAAGAGGAAGGCACAGTAAACAAATCCCATACTACCTAGCAAGCAGAACGATGTGAATTTATGTTCTGCACGCTATCTGCACCAGGTACAAGTAACATAGATGACTTTCTGAGAAGGGGCTCTTCAAAGCTCACTTTTTACAGCTGTGTCTGTTGTAATAAAGCTGCACAAATAGGAACGAGGTAGGTCTATCCCAGAGGGAAGGAAGCTAGTGATCTTTTAGCGCTTATTGAGCATTTGGAAAAGTACTGGAACAGGACTCATTCCTGTTCTTGCGGTCTTCTGCCTCCCCTCTAGCTCCTCGCATGCCCACCTCCTGCCAGAACAAGCTTTTGCTCTGTGTCACAAGGAGCCTGGATTAAAATGGCCAAATGAAAAGTGTTGCAGCAACATTGCACAGAGTGGCTGAACAGACTGAATAGCATGATGCCAACAAGAAGAGCTCCTACAGTACCCATCCTCTCATCTCTCTGCTGCACAGTCCAAGCCAGCTCTGCAACTTTGCTGGATCATTCCACAAGCTCAATCAAGCCCCTCACCCAGCAAGAAGCTATTCACTCCTTCTGGCTGGGTTAGTTTTCGGTGATTCTGCAAGCTCAGTCAGCCAAACACATACCAGACCACTGCAAAGAAGAGTGGTGGGAGCACCAGGGAAGATCTGGGGATGTGGGGCAAGTGGTAGGATGTGCTTCTTTTGGTGACAACAAATGGTTAAGTTGGTGCTCCAAACTGCACCCAGCTGAAGTTCCCAGCCTGTTCTGCCCACAGCTGCTTAGCCAGCACAAGGGCAGGGATGGGAACAAGCAGCCAGCCCTGAGGGTACTGGTATTGCAGCCAGAAAAGGTAAACCGTCCAGCCTAGAAAAGAGATGATGGAAGGGAGATAGGGCAAAGCTCTGCATAACTTGCCAGTAGCTGCGAGAACACAGAGCGGGACTGAATATACACCGTCACTTTCAAGATACAGGTGCCAAACAAAGCCAGTGGCTTGAAGGACTCCTTGCTGAAGGATACTGCTGACACAAAATTTAGAGACTCTCAATGGGAAACCAGGCAACCACTTGGAAGAGAGTTGCATTTTCCACAAGACTTGTGCATTATGAGTAAGTTTCCCAGTCAGAATTATAATGAAAATCAGCAAGGCCACATCATTTGCATGTGGCTGGCACATTCACAGGAACACTCCACACGTTATCTTCAAATCAGACTTGAGTAAGACCAAAGAAAAGGTGTGACTTAATGGCCACATTAAAAATAACAGTAGTGCATCCTATCACGGATGATTAATTATTAACAACACATTTCCACAGGCAAGTAAAAGAAGCAGTATGCAGGGTCAAATAAATCCTGAACTCTCTTAGGTCCTTCCCTGACATCAGCCCAAAGAGACCTATGGAACCACCAACATGTTTGTCCAGCACCAAGTGGCAGAGAAAGCAGTTGACAATTGCACCAAAGCTGAACCATCTTTCCCAGGAAAAGTAAGAAAAGCTGTGTCATTATCACAGCAGGCGTCTACACACACACTCTGCAACACAAGAATTAAGTCTCTGCCCTCAAAAGCTTACAACTAAAGAAGCACTGAACAAGCAAACGGGAACAGAGATCCCACTGGACAAACCCAACAGCTCACAAGCAACCCTGCAGCAGGGAGTAAGCATGAGCTCCTGCAAGGTCACAGCCAAGTAACAGATTTTTCCACTCCATGGAAATGGATGAGATGGGGAATCAAGTCTTGGTCTGCTGCATTACACTGCACAGAACTTAAAGTTGGCAGCAAGGATTATCTCAAGAAGTATGCGA